CCCAAGGCTGGGGCAGTAGGAGGTGTGGGGAGGGGGCAATGGTGAGGGGATAGGGGGGAGTCCCAGAGCTCGTGCAGCAGGATATATATATATATATATATATATAGTGGGGGGCGAGGGCGTGGGACGGCGAGGGGGGTGCAGTGAGGAGCCCGAGGGCGTGGGACGAGGGGGCAGCCAAAAATTTTTTTGCTTGGGGTGGCAAAAAACCTAGAGCCGGCCCTGGGCAGTAGCATTAGAGGGGGTTATTTTTTTTATTTGCTTCCACTGATATCTTACTCTCTATACCTGCTGCTGAGAATGGTGATTTGGAGTCTGAGCACTTTAAAGAGATCACAGTCAGCGCCACAGAAGGGACCATCAAGGACTCGGGGTGCAGTAGGTTAATACACAGAGGCCTGGTTTCCCCTTTCTGTTACATTGCAAGTGGAACATATTGAGTGGTCTCAAGCCAGTGGCTTTTTGTGCAAGGCAGAGCCAGGCGGAGAGGTGGCCAGAATCCACCACACTCCAGCTATTCACTGCTGCCAGGGGAAGCGGCACATACGTAAGAGCAGCCTTGTGGCTGCTCTAGGTTGCATTGGAGAGCAGGCAGGCCATTGTCTACCCACAACACAGGAAGAACAAACCTCACTCAAAGCCCCTTTTCTCCTTCCCTACCCCCATTCCTGCCCTGCCCTCTGTGCCCGCAGGAACAGAGTAACTGTGCATCAGCACCTAAGCTGAAATTCAAAACAGATGGACTTTAGTCCTGCTTTAAACAGAAATCTCTACACGACCTTTATCTGTGGAGCTCCTCCGGGGCCTCCATGATATCCTGGTTGTTACATATATTGTGCCAGGAGAGAAAGCAGCCTGCTTTTGTTGCCTTTACTGGACTCCTCACACTTGTGCATAGCTCACACTAATAATATTGCTACAGCACTATACAGAGTTAGATAAGAGATTGTGAAAATTGAAGCAAGTTCTCCTATAAAACAGGCTGTCCAAGACCCTCCTGTTCCCCACCATATGTATGCACCCTCCCCGTGCTGCTTAAACCTCCCCTGTAAGGACAAACTGCTGATTTGAAAATGGATGTGCTGCTGTTAAATCAGAGTTCAGTCTGGCAGTCATGCCATGTGGATTTAGTCATGACGTCTTTGCGAATGCAGATCTAGTCAGTGGGATAGGACCATCTCCCTCTCCCTGGGGATAAATAAAGGAGAATGAGTGTGACGCAGGCATACAAATCACAGCACAGTTTCTCCAGGAAATCCAGCCTCCCTTCCCCCCAGCTGTAACACACCAAAGCCAGAAACCAAGTCATGCCCTCAAGTAGCAGGGACTACCAACCACTGCCAACCGGGATGGATACCAGCATGGGGGTGGGGGAGGGATGTCATTTTGTTTTTGCCTTGCTTCCATTGATATCTTACTTTCTATCCCAGCCGCTGGGAACTGTGATTTGAAGTCTTAGTGCTCTAAAGAGATCACAGCCATGCCACAAAAGGGACTACCACTGGGAACTCAGGGTTCAGTAGGTTAATACACAAAGGCCTAGTTTCCATTTTCTGTTACATTGCAAGTGGAATATGTTGAGTCGTCTCAAGCCAGTGGCTTTTTGTCCAAATCCCAGCACGTATAGTTCAGTCTGACAGCAGGAACGCTGTGCACTAATAGCTCGGGACACGGCTGATGGTAGCCTAAAAAGCCACTAGAATCCATAGCACCTTGTGCAGAGGCTAAATGCAAAGCAAATGGGTCTGAGTGAAAAGGCGATTCCGAATTGTACCCCAGATGGCTGTCACCTGCTGTGCCATCAAAAGACAGGCTGCTCCCTTCTCTCTATGTTTGTATATATAAATCTCTAGCTTAGTGAATCCAGGGGTTTGGAGCCATTTCTGCTTTGGCCTGCCACTGATGTTCACAGCACCTGTGGCCATTTTCTTTGCAGGCCAGGGCTTTTTCTTTGGGAAGGAGAAGACTAAGCCACTATACAGAGTTATAAGGATAATAGTGTGTATCTCTCCAGGGCCTTTAGTTCCAAACGAAACCCAAAGCTCTTAACAGCACTCTGTCATGTATCTAAACTTCAAGCCGGAGGTATCATTTCCAGCCCCAGGAGCTATCCCTGCACTAGCTCTGATGAGCTAACGTACTAAATATAGTGTAGCTGTAGCAGCAGCCACCTGAGTACATACCTAGCGTCGCAAATAGATTTGGGGGCCTCTAGCCCCTCACACTAATTTTGAATGCACTAGCTCAATCAGAGTTAGCATGAAATCTATCTCCTTGAGCTGGAAATTACACAACTTGAAGTGTAGACATACCTACAGACAGCATCTGTAATCTGTCTGGTCAGCCATCACTGGAGTAGCTGCACAGCTGGATACAGGAATCATCTCATCTACCAATTAAAGGGGACCACCTCAGGGATGGAATTGTTTAAGAGCACGTGGGACTACTGCCCAAGTCGTTCTATGCAGGAAGTGAAGCATCCTAGGTCTAACTGAGACAGCAATAATATAATGAATAGCAGGGAGAAGGCTAAGCAGGTCTGCCCATTTACTAAGTCATGCTTCAATAACAGATGGCTATTACGATTTAAAAAACAATGGATTCAAAATAGATAATAAACCAGAATACCTTATTATTAAACAAACACTAATAATGTGCTCCATCCCAGACAAGACACACAGATGGACAGCCTCTGCTCTGAAGAGCTTCCAATCTAAAACAGACCTACAAAGAATGTGCTGGAAAACCACAGGAGGAACCATGTTAAGGATTTTTTAAATCTACGAATGTGCATCTGGTAGATATCACAAAAAAGTCAATCTTTAGGAGGGATTTGAATGAAGAAAAAGAGTGTGGTGGCTTCATGAACTGGGACTAGGAGGTCATTTCATTTACAGAGGTGTACGGGGAGACTTTGGCAAACCAGTAAAGTGCCTAAAACCACCATGGCTTATTGTTAAAAAGCCACCTAGTCAGGAAGCTGTAAATTGATCATTCAGCAATCTCGGCTTGACCAAGGCAGGAGGGGAGAGGGTTTTGGGTGCCACGGAAAGGGCAGCTTGACCCCACGTCCTTCCTGATAAGAATTGTGTTGAAGTTGCTGATACATCCATTTTAAAAAGAGCAGGAATGTTTATTGGGGTCTCAGAGCTGCAGACTCTGGAAAGCCCACACCTGGTTAATCAATAGTCAGAGGGAACCTCTTGCTTGAAACTGCTTACTTAACAAGGTTTCTTTAAGGGACATGTCATTCTATTACTAATGTATAAATAAGGGGAAAAAGCTTGAGATAGTTGGACTTGTTTGGGGACTCTTTTGGACTCTCCCTCTGGATACATCTTGCAGTCCCCACCGGCAGACGGAAGATTTGGCCACCGGAAGCCTGCCGCTGTGTCACTCGAGAGCCACACTCAGCTTTGGTAATTATCAAGGGTTGGGGATGTTTTACTAACCTGTTGCGGACGTGTGTAAGTGCTTGAGACTAGTAAAGTTTAGCTTTAAGTGAAAGCACTTTTATGTTGTCCTGTTTGTGCCAGCCATCTATCGGTCGGACGGCCGTGTCTCCCCTGATTTATTTCCTGACACCTCCTCACACAGAGTAAAGTTACCAAGAGCTTTGGGTTGAAAGAACCCCGGGTAACAGAAGGAGCATGGAAAAAGTCATGGGGACAAGAGAGGAGGGAGACTAAGCAGGTGTTAAGCCTGCCTTTGTTGATAGACCAGAGAAGGGCCAGAAGAAGAGCTTACAATAAGTTGAGTAGATCTGAGATGTTGGACACAGAAGAATTATGTAACAGCATGAAAGTGAGGATGAACAATTTAAACTTGATGTGGTATGATTAACCTGTGGAACTCACTGACACATGATATTACTGAGACAAAAAGCATATAAGATTTTTTTAAAAGGGTACTAAGACGACTAGCTGCTGAAGTGAGAGTAGCCATACTAAAAAGTCTCACTATCCCCCTGCAACAGGTCATAAATGGATTATCAGTGGGATCAGGCCATGTTCCTCCCCTCCTGCCCATTGTAAAGCAGTGAAAAATTATGAGCAACTTTTTGAAGCTCATAGAATTAGCTATTGTCCAAGGGAAGAGACCTGGCTTGATAGCCCATTGGTAGCAATTTCTGCAGTTTTCTTTTCTTTCCAGCTGTGCTTTACCTTCACTCTTTCTCTCTGTCCCATTTAGTTTTCCTCCTCCTCTGCCCGCTCACAGTAAATACGTGACGTCCTGCATCCCTCAAAGGGTTTCCTCCGAGTGGCTTGACTATTCCTGTATATGTTCATCCAGTGGAGGGGGTGAGTGAGAAGAGACAGAACCACTCTGACATATCAGCTACTCTCTCGATAACCCAAGAGCTCACAAAGAGCCAGCAGGACGGGACTGCTCTCACGTAGGCCCTAGGCAGAGCCCCCCCTGCATTAGCATGATGTCAACACCAGTGATTTTCCACCCCTACGGTGGGATTGGGGGAGAATCTACTGTGGAATTTGGAAGGGGGGGGGGAGCAGATGAGAAAGGGATAGAGTAAATGAGGTTCCCGTTCTCGCACCAGGAGTTCCAAACAAATACCACTGTCAACCCACAGAGCTGCCGTTCAGATAAGCAAGGAGGCACAGAGAAACAGTAGCTAACACCAGAACTAGAAGCTAAGAGGTCTTCCAGCCCAAGCTATTCAGTGTGTGACCGGGTCATAACAAAGCTGTAATATTACATCAGGGCCCCTGCATGCTATATTTGTACTGCATAGGGTGACCAGATGTCCCGATTTTATAGGGACAGTCCCGATTTTGGGGTCTTTTTCTTATATAGGTGCCTATTACCCCCCACCCCCTGTCCTGATTTTTCACATTTGCTGTCTGGTCACGCTACTGTGCTTACAAACAGTCTCGGAAACAATCCATCACCAACTAATGCAACTCTCGGTGCTACTAAATCACTATTTTCCCCAGTAACAGCTGAGGCGGCAGGATCGATCGGATGAGGGGGATGAAGCAGAGACATAGCTCATCACCATGATCTGAACGCGCATTGTAGTTCTAATGCACGGCTATCGTGCTGGAAAATCACCGTAATGCCTGTGGACACATGCAAGAGCCTAGACTGCATGACATACCGGGGAGGTGGCTCTGTTTGCTACTGTTCACCATAAAAGGCAGCATCAGTGCTTCCTGGGGTGGCAGAAGATGCATGTTTTGCTTGTATCTTTATGGAGTGAGGGCAGCCAAGCTGGGGAAGGACCTTGGTGCAACTCAGCCAAGCGTCTATAAAACAGCTCTTTAAAAAGCCACAAAGTCACCTTTGCTGACATTTGCAAAGGGATTATATGCAAGTCACAGGACTGAGAGATGGACCCTGCCATGATTAGGGTCACAGAGGCAGGGAGTGAATTTATGTGCTAACAAACAGGCCTGCGCGTCTCTCTCTTTCTCACACATGCTCGGCTAGACACATTTATGAGCCTTTGTGAGACCAGTCTGACCTGGACTTCTCTTTCCATTTCTTGTCACTTCTAGGACGGACACATGCACCCCTCTGCCAGTCCCCTATTGCCTCTGGCCTGAGTCTCCACGTCCATCAAAGTGACCATAACCTGTAACTATGCTGAGCTGGCAGCATTTTACATCACTTTGCACTGGTTACAGGGCAATGGGGTGGCACCCTTTTGTCTAGCAACAACCACGGTGCAGACTCTGTGCTCTTGGGACATTGCCTAGACCCCAAACTGGGCTCAAACAGTCGCAGCATGTTCAAATATCCTCAAATGGATGAGAATTCAAGTGTTTGGGCTGAAGAAATGACTGATGTTCCTCACATCAGCTGCACATGGTGGGACAAAGCTGGGTACAACGCCCACGAGGTGTTTTCTTGGTCTCACCCTATAACATAACTAACCCTCTCCATCCTCGCCTGCACCGACCCTGTGATCAACACCGCAGCATTTAGTCACTAACGTGCACGCCAGTGCTACCAGTCACTGGAGGGGGAAATTCACGAAGCAATTCACTGTCCATGTGGTAGGTGATCAGCATGTTGGGTAGGTTTTAAAGCGAAAGCCTGAGCCTGTCCAAAAGCCTAGCTAGTGAAAACTGTGTGGCTGGGACTGTCCTACCGTATGTGTACAGGGCCAACACAGCCCTGCTCACCAACTGGGGTGCTACCATGCTACCACATTACAGACAAATGGGTGACGGGCTTTCTGCCAAGCCAATGGGGCACGACTGAGGTGAGCTTAGCACTGTTCCCTACTAGCTTGGCTGGGGAGGGTAGAGACTCACCTCACCCAATAGAACTACAGCTTATGCTGAGTATGCAGCAAGTAGTGAGACACAACACAGCCAGCAGCAAGCCCCCCTCCTCCATTACACTGCCCTAAGTGAACATAGCCATAGATGGGTGCTGGCCCACTTGGACTGACATAAGCAGCTGCCATAGCTGCAGAATTTAGCTCCCCACCAAGCCTAGCTTTGAAGCCAAAAGCAGCGGCTGTTGTCGCTGGCAGGGAATCTTATTGTGTTCAGCTGACAATCCTAGGCCCGTATTTAATACGCTGCTCTTCCTGCAGTGGCTGGTGTACCCCGAGCCAGAATGCGCAAGCTGCTAGTGGTCTGACTGAGACAAGGTCCAAGCAGACTGTACCTTCATCTAGGTGGCAAGAGGGAATTCAGTGACCCTTCCAGCTAGTTAACAACGCCAGATTCTGCAAGGTTGAGTTCCCAGACAGGAATGCTGCTCATGACCCGGGACTGGAATGGTGGGGATTTATAAAGGGAGCAAAGTAAGAAATACTCCCTGTTCCATCAAGGACTTCGCCTCTGCTCTGCTCTGAGTGGCAGAGGGTTTTTGGCCATCTGAGCTGAATGGAAAAGGAGCAGGACCACCCCAGCTAGGCTTCTGTATTTTAGGGAAACTGGCAGCTTAGTCACTGCTGATTTCACTCACACTGAAGTAGGGAATGTGCTCTAAGGTATTTAGAGCCCCTATTACTATCATACTGAGCCCCTCGCTATCTTCAATGTATTTATCCTCACAACAGCTCTGTGAGGTAGGGAAACACTACTATCCCAAGACATGGCGAAACTAAGCGACTTGCCCAAGGTCACACAGGAAGTCTGTGGCAGAGCAGATAATTGCACTGGGGTCTTCGAAGTCTTAGGCTAACCACTGGCCTATCCTTCCTCCATTGCAGGTTTTAACCATTTGCCTGCCAGCTACATCCCTCTATCGCCCTCTTGAACTAGGAGTTGCATTTCTTTTGTTGCCATGTTTCAGTTTACACAAGAAACGTGCTGCCGTTAGAAAATAGAGTACAGTGTCACCCTCAGTTCCCTGCAGAAGCAGCACCAACCAAGCATCTGTGAAAGGAAGAAACCATGCTGGGCCAAGGAGAATCCCCAACCCAGCAGGGGCCACAGAGTTTGGTCAAGGAAACCACACAGCGTAGTCAGGGACCCAGAATTCAGCTGAGGTGGAGTTTTAAAGGCTGATGAGCCTGTGAATCTGTGCTGGTATTTGAGCAATGATGTAGTTGAGGATGTCTTCCCCCATACACAGATATAAGGGCCTTTTATTCCTCCATAGGGCAGCTTGATTTCCGCTATACCATACAGACTCCAAGTGCATCTGAAGACGTTGAGTGGTACCACAGGGGCAGTGTCCTGTGATGGTCAGAGAGAGGAAATGCTGGATGTTTGCTACACTCTCCTTTTTCCACCTCCCATGCTTCTCACCTAGGCACTTCTCAAAAGTAAGAAGCCGACACAGACTCCGGTACAGCAAGCATATTTATTTACTGTGAAACACACTATTCACCACCCAGTGCGATGGAAATTCAAATGCGTAGCAGCAGCTGCTGGGGATCAAGGGAGTCCTACACTTTCTCTTGAGAGTTTTGGCTAATGAGAGTTTACCAACTAGCGACACACTTGCCAGTCCCCAGAGGCTGAAGGGCTGTGCTCATCCCCAGAATTGGCATAATACCATTGCAAGCCCCCCACTGCAACCTGCTAACATGTCTCATCCCTGCTCTTGAGAGACTGTCACCCCCCCTTAGGGGGAAGTGGGACGCTCCCCACAGCTCATTCACTCCTTTGGTGGCTCATGTGAGGCTGCTAAGTTCTTCCAAACTAGTGACTTTGACACCTTACAGAGACCTGATTTTCAGAGGGCAGGAGCTCAGCACTTCCTGACAATCAGGCCACTTTATGGCATCTCCGGTGGGGCACCTAAAACCCCCGAGTTCCTTTTGGAGGCCTTGGCCAAGTCTGTCCATCAGGGTCCAGCTGTGGTGTCAATTCTAGCAGCGAGCAGGAGAGTTCTCAGTTCAAGCCCAGTTTCTCTCTCCCACACACATTCTCAGGCATCTATTCCTAAACATTCTCCTACTCGCTGGCTCTGCTATGAGATAGGGTCTTTGGGGCCGAGCTCAGGGGAGAAGGTCTCAGGTCATTCCTTAACGAACAAATACATTATTTTGCTAAGAAAACAGATTATTTCTCCTCTAGGTGAAGCCAGATATCACTGTGAGCGCCTCTCTTTGGTGAGAGACTGAACGCTGCTCTAATCAAAAGCGCCCCCTCGCTTTTTGGATGGTCACTTAAGAGGCACCCAAACCAGGGCTTAGGAAGCTATTCTAAGATGCACTGCTGGGCCTCCATGGAGGTGTCGCCTCATGTGCACGCTAGCCCTGGAAACCGAACTCCTTGTACTTGCTGGCCATGTCATTTCGGAACAGCTCCAGGGCCTTCCTCATCGCAGCCTGGGAATCGGCCCCAAAGTCCGAGGGATGTTTCTCAGCAATGACCTTGACAATGATTTCACAAATGAACTGTCAAGAAGGAGAGGTGGGGGGGGGAGGGAGGAAAAGGGACAAGTAAGCGTCACTCACAGTAGGGACCTTTCAGTAAATGCAAAGTAAAAAATTGTTTGCAGATAGTGGAAATGACATCTTAGGGGTTGTCTACACAAACACTTAGCTCGCAGCAAGCGGGAGTGTAAATCTACCCCACACTATCCTGCTGTGTACTGAGTGTCCATGTGGTCCCAGCTGCTGCACACTAAGTATTCCTTAGTGTGCTTTGATCTACCCCGCTTTGAAATGGGAGTAGATCAAAGTGCACTAGGGAGCTTTTGGTGCATGGCAGCAGGGTGCCTACAGGCACTTAGTGCGTGGCAAGCTACTGCAAGATAGATTTACGCTCCAGCTGGCCACAAATTAAGTGTTTGCATAGACAAGTCCTAGGACTGAATTCAGTAGTCCTTCCCTCAGCCATTCAAGAGGCATTGTGGCCTATAGAGCACTAGGCTGGGACTTGGGAGACACCTGGTTCTAGTCCTGGATCTGTCGTGTTCCTAGGAAAGTCACTTCCCCTCCCATCCTTTGCCTGCCTTGTCCATTTACACTGTAAACTCTCCCTCTGCATTTGTATAGTGCCTAGCGCAATAGATCCCCGATCTTCACTGGGGCCTCCAGGTGCTGCTGTAATACAAAGAAGTCCCTTGGGTGCTGTCACTCACTAGATTCTAATATGATCTGGTTTCCCACGGATGCTGGTGCTGCACCCACTGGTTTGTTATTGTTAAGAG